GTGGTCGTCGTCGTTGTCGTCGTCATGTCGCCGTCCTATTCGTAGTCGTCGTCTTTGTCGTGGCAGCACGACTTGATTCACTTACGGTTTGTGTTGGCATTAGAGCCATTAGTTTCAATTCTGCGGTTGTCGATGATGTTCCTCTTGCAGGTAAGTCTTCCAACAAGGTCACCGAATAGGATGTGAATTGAGAAACTTGTTTCTTTCGCAAGCCCTCCCCTAAACGGAAACCCTTGCGGAAAACCTCTACCCCTCTAAGCCCTGAGCTTTAAACCTCTTCAACGCGAGGCCCCATGCCCTGAACCCCTAAGCCCCTGGACCCCAAAATCTATATAAACCCTCTTCAGGAGCGCAGCTCCGCGGCAGCACCGGAAAGCTGCCTTCCCCAAGTTCAGCGCTGGCTGCGCGGAGTGCCTCGCAGCTTGCTGCCCTGCTCCGGGAGCTGCAAAAGGATTCAGGGTTCTATAAAGGTCCCGTAAAGGGTTACCAGTTACCACAAGCGTTTAGGGTTTTGGGGTTTTGCCGTGAGGTTTAAGGGCTTAGATGATTTATTCCTTTTTCGTGGCCTTGGGGCACAACGGCTCTGCGCGTGTGCGGGCTTATTAAGACGGTTCAGAGACTAGAAGGGGTTCAGGGATCAGGGATAGACGAGTCTGTCAGCTTGTGCACGTGAATTCCTTTCCTCGCAACCCGAACCCCTAAACCCTTCTGCACGATTTGGGAGTTTTCAAAAATAGGGGACCCTAATATAGTACCCAAAATAATAGGATCCTTATAAGTACCCCCAAAATACGGTACCCTAATTTTCGGAAACTCCCATTTTGAGGTTCTGCCGGATCTACCCGGTCAACCGCAAAGACACGGAAGAGGTCGGAAGAATTCGCCTCAGTTTCGGGGTGTAGGGCCCTCAAGCAGCCGACGTTTGGGCAAGCTAAGGTGACTGTGCCAGCACACTGTTGTCAGTATCATTCAGACACATGGCGTGAGTATGAGTCAAAAAAATGAATCTCATTCTTCATGTAGACTGCTGGCTGATACTGCCTGCTGCCAAACCAGCTTGGTGCCGCATGTGTGCCCTTCCCCGGCCATGCTAGAAATCCCCCGCACTGGGTTGACCAGAGCTTGAACACCCAGCACGTCAGCTCTTTCCTTCAACCCGCAGAAAGACTTGTTGGTTCCGGAACCCTCATGTTAAATTTTGCCCAAGCAGACACTGAGCACCGATAGGGCGTTCCTGGCGTACTCTTCGGCCGCTACGAGGCCGCCGGCGGCGGGGGTTGGGGCTTCGGGGTTGCTCTTTGAGCGGCGTTGATGACGGAGATGTACATGTCAGGAAGTTTTTAAGTTAGAAATTCATGAAACGCCCCAAGGAAATCGGTAGCATGTGTATATATATATATATAGAGAAATATACCTGGGGTTTGTGGATGGTACATTTGAAGGTTTTGCGGGCATGGGGCTTCGATGGCAAGATCTGAATCGGGTGCTTGTCGGTTCAGCAGGTGCATCGGGAAATTCAGCTCTCTGTACATGTTCTGTTGAAGCTACAGAGAATAAGACAGCTCCTTCTTGTGGTTTCTCTCCCTAAACCCTAAACCATCCTAGCTCCGCATGGGAGGTACGAGGCAGAGGCGTCTGGCCCAGGTCGATGTTACGGTTTAGGGTTTAGGGTCAAGCTTCTCACGAACACAGAAAGGGTAGTGCCTGAAATTCTCAGTCACAAAACCAGTGTAGTACGGAACCCGCATACAAAGGATCCCAACAGGAACCCTAGTTTCGAGAACTGCCCAAAGTTCAGTTTCACACCCTAAACCCTAAACCCTAAACCCCTAAACCCTAAACCCTAAACCCTTAACCCTAAACCAGAGTTTTCGAAAGTCCCGTCTTATCAGGTCTACTCCACCCAACAAGGTGGGCTTTTGAGCCTGCGAAAGGAAGCCGTGCACAAGAGAGCAACAACAAAACTAAACCCCCTAACCGGCACACTGGCATATGCACGTTTACAGCCACTCCAAGCAGATTTCTCGAACATAGCCGCCCGTACCGCCTGGCGTTTGGAATCTAGGGTACATACCATAGAAAGCCGAAGGGTGAAAGTACTAACATAGTAGGTAGTTAGTAGATACTTGGGCCCCAAAATAATATACTATGCTTGGACCCGAAAAGTACATACGATATGATTATACACTGTGTTTGGGCCCTAAAAATAACTTACTATACTATTACTTGGACCTTTTGGGAAAGACAACCCGGCTAGCTGGACTGTGGAAGAGGCCGACCGCTACGGCGCCAACAACGAGGGTAACCCATGGACTGCCCCGGTGCTTTACGGTGCTACTGTTCCTTTAGGGTTTAGGGTTTAGGGTTTAGGGTTTAGGGTTCCAGTAACCTTGGGGCCGAGACTAGTACCAAGTACTATGTTGGGGGCTCGTCCTTATTCGTATAGCTAGAGATGGGAGTTTCTGAAAACAAGGGGTACCTTATTTTGGGGCCCTTATCAGAAGGATCCTGCTATTTAGGGTGCTTTGCTAGGGTCCCCTATTTTCTGAAACCCCCATATAGTCTACTATGAGGCTTTGGATTTCGGCTTCCGGGGGCTGGGGATGAAGATTGAAGGGTTAAGGGGCTTTGGAAGGTCCGGACACCGTAGAATTCTTGAAATTGTGGTATAAAAAAAGGATGAGCAGACAAGTGTGGCTTGCAAGCCACACACGTATCTGCATAGTCATGCCCGTTTCTACTGTGAACCCCTGAAGCACTTTGTTCTGTCAGTGTTCTTTCGGTTGAAACCTCTCCTGCCGTGCTGCTGGTGCTGCTGCTACGACTCGCGGCTGCTTCTACTACCTCCACCACCACTACCTTAAGAATACTGTTTCTACTTACATACCGTTGTACTCATACTGCCACGCATGCGATTTGCTGTTGCTAGCAAGACTCTATCACTCTTACCATGACAGATGATTGTGCCTTCTGAGGGTGATATTATCTCTATACGGCCACGGAAATTGCAATCTATTGTGCTTCCGATATTGCGACAAATGCTCCTACGCCAGCGGCTGTTGTTGCTGTGAGTGTTGGGCTCTTGGTCTTGATTCGGTCTCGTTGTCGTTGTTGTCCTCGTCGCAGTCGTGATTGTAATTGTCGCTGCTGCAGCTTTCTTCACAACTCTATTGGCATTGTTTCTGTCGTTTATGCTTAACCAGCTGTCTGACACATTGACACAGTGTGATGGCTTCTGTCATCGTCGTTTTTACGGCTCGGATGGAGACATCTCGAGAATACACTCTCCGATTCCCACCGGAGGGACAGTCCTTTCCTGCAGAGGCTGTGCGATGCGGCTGCACCCGTAATCCCAAACAGCAACTGTCGGAAACTTCAACCCCCCCGCCCCCCTGAAAGCCAACAACTGAACTCTACCAACGCAGAAGCCCTGAAGCGTGGTTTTGCTCGCGCAGTTGGCCCCCCCACATGATGTTTCTCCGAGCAAGCTTCTCACAGTTTGACTGCAGATCATACACCGGGTCTGCAGGTTATGACCTTACACTTTATAGTACCATGTATGTATGTATGTATGTATGTATGTATATATATATATATATATGATGTAGTGTTAACATCCGCTATATATCTGATATACTATGATGCATTTTGCCGGCTTCAAGACGGTTGATTGTCAAGTAAACCCGCCGTGCATCGCAAGCCTTGAAGCTTGAAAATTGCAAAAAAATGTAAATGTGCCTGCGCGAAAGCAGCCTTTCAAACGACATCCACCCGAGCTAGTCCGCAAACGGCCTAAACGGTAACCACACATCCGACAGGCTGTTAAGGTTTGTGTCATTATGACTACAATTTTCGATTATGAGCACTAGTCAGTAGTATTCTGATGGTTGGTATCATTCCTTTTGCTACTGCTTTTCAGCCATGTGAGTATCCGCTCACCCACCAGGATCCTCATCACGGCTGCTCTGGCGAATTTGCTCTACAAGGTAGGGCCAAACACAGAGAGCAAAAGGGGGGTTTAGGGCTTAGGGGTTTAGGGTTTAGGGGCTGGAGCAAAAGTACGAATCCCAAGTTCTGTTTCGGAAAGCCCTTAACCCATCTTAACCCATTTGCACCGTGTCTCCGCAAGCCCAAAAAGCTAAGACCCTACATTTACACTAAACACGACGCAAGCACCCTAAACCCTAAACCACATCAGCTCTTTGCAGCATATACTGTGTCCAAAGAGCCTCGGTGCCTTCGTCCTAGGGACCTTAATAATTAGAATAGGGTTTTGGGGCCCAGTATACTATACTCAGAGTAAGAGAGAACCCCCAAAATAGTATTAGTAATTATTGAGGCTCCTCCATCTCTTCAGTTTGTTGGGTAGGCTGTGGACTTTCATACTGGCAACCTGAACCGTGACTAGCAGATCTTCGACCCGGGGGATTTTAGACCGATAGAATTTCAATGAGCCCTGAACCCGAACCCGAATTCAGCAAAGAAACTAAACCTAACGTCAAACCCCAACCCAACAGCACCGAAGTCCCAACTCCTAAACCCTAAAACCCTAAACCAAAAGTCCTAAACCCTAAACCCCAAGCCAAAACCCAAAACCCTAAACCCTGAACCCTAAGTCCTAAACCTACCCCACAAAAAAAACGGAAGTCAGCGAGGCATCTGCGGAAGCCTCGGAGCAGGCGATGACTGAGGAGGCAGGTAAGGACAGGGGCCTCAATAATTTAGGGTTTAGGGTAATTACTAATACTATTTTGGTGGGTTCCTTACTATAGTTAAAGTATCATGAGCCTGAAAGCCCTATGCTAGTTAGTAAGGCCCCTGCAGTAGGGACAGGGCATTTTACATGGGTTTTAATTCGAGTGGGGTTTGGGGTTTGAGGGTTTAGGCTTTGAGGGTTTAGGGTTTTAGGGTTTAGGGTTTGAGGGTTTAGGCAGTTTAGGATTTGAGGGGAGCTTTAGAGAGGTTGCAACAGGGTCCAGGGTGTTCAGTGTTTTAGGCTTTTTTTAGAGGGGTTTCCAGGGGCTTCGAGGGGTTGTTATAAGGGACACTTCTGAGGTTTAGGTTGTAGGATATGCTCTGCTTTCAAGACGAGGGATCGCAGGTTTAGGCATGCCAGGTAGGCCTAGGAATTTAGGGTTCAGGGTGCTGGGCTTAGGGTTGCTGTTCCCTGCACAGGACTCGGCCCGAACCACCCAAACAAAGGTTTGAGGACGGGCTTGAACTCGCGGACACCGCTTGGAATCCCGAAACCTCTAAAAACTGTTCAGGAACCCCCCTCGACCCTGCAGTCCTAGACCCTAAACCCTAAAACCTAAACTCCTAACCCTCTCCGTAGCTCTTAAGGAACCCTGATGGAACCCTGAACCCTAAACGCTCTTCACACGGAAAGGCTGCAGCAGCCTGGGCAACCTTCCTTGGCCAGCCAGGTCCACTCTGCCTTACGTTACTACGGGGTTTAGGGTTTAGGGTTTATAGGGTTTATGGCCAAGTCCACTCTGCATCGGGGGTAGCTCTCGAAATGGGCTCCTTTTTGGGTCCCCCGAATAGTATGGCACCCTTTAAAAAAGGACCCTAAACGGGACCCGAATTTAGAGAACTACCCATAGGGTTGTTAAGGGTTTAGGGTTTCATGTCTGGTTTTGAGGGTTTAGGGTTTAGGGTTTAGGGTCCGAGTTGCTAGTAGTACTATCCCTTCTGGATCCTCTTGACGTCTTAGCAGGAACACCTGCCGTCATCGGCCCTGCTGCTGTCATCGTCATAAGCTGCTACTAGCACGTCTATGACTCTTACAGCATATTGCGCCTGGTACCATCAACCCTAAACTCTAAACGATTGCTATCCGAGATTCAACTTTTCCAAGTTAGACGGTGTTAAATCGAATTCAATTCGTGCTGGGATTAGGTCTGGCTTGGTCGTGCGGGTTTAATTTAGGACCAGGTGCTTGCTGTATTTATGTGCTGGACAGGATTATGGTTGTGGGTTAGGGGTGCCCTGAGTAGATGGACCCTGGCATTGCATGTCCTGACACTTAGACATACATCGACATAGTTGAAATAGTGTAGGAGCCTGCTTTAAAAACCCTGGGTTTTTATTGGGTTTCTTTATATGACTCCTACTATTTTGGGGTTATAGGGCCAGGGTTTCTTTATCAGTTTCCTACATTACCTGATCAGTGTTTGCTTCTCACTACTGATCGGTGTCATCCGGAAAAGAAGCACCGTCGTGTTTGCAGAGGTCCCGCGAGTCCGGCAGACTTGGTCGCTGGGGGCGATGCTGCGGCTTGGAGACAACTAACTCGGTGAAGGTTGAGTGTGGGGGCGGTATAAATCCGCCTCGGCCCTGAATACCTCCAACACTGCTATTATCACCTACTCAGGCTTGCTCAGGTCTTCGTACGACTATCACTATGGCTACAACTACTGTTGCTACCATTCCCATCGGCATCATCATTATTCATGATTCTATGATTGTATTCGGCAGCTACGGCCATCGAAGCTCAACACATTTCCCAATTAGGTGGAGCGTGGGTTACAGTTTCAGCATCAAGGAACTGGCGAAGGTTCATGGTGTCGGTTTAGTGTGCTCGAACCTGAGCCGCATTCCGCGTGGCATCGCAAGATAGTAACAGCATCAGGCAGTTATGCTCCTCTGCAGACCTTCTTTAGCTTTCCTCTGCAAGTCAGAGCTTCCGCAGAAGGTGCTTCTGCGGATTCGTCATCACGTGGGCAGTGACCTGCGTTTGCATGCGCCTTGGCACAAGTTAGCTCTCTTCAGATTCAGAGCAGTTAGAATAGGGTTTGGGGGTCTATTATACGACAACAATAACAAGGAACCCTCAATACCCTATTCTAATTATGAAGGCCCCTACATTACCTGCTCAGGCCAAAAGCAGTTGATAACGAACGTGTATGCATGTCGGTTTCAGATTCTCGATCCGACCCCGTTGTGAAAAAATGCAGACGCTTTCAGGAGCAAATCGACCGCCACACCGGGCTTCAGTACAATGCCAAGGACTGGCTCGTTGATGTGAGGTCCGGAGATGCCTTATTTACTTTTGCTTCGCTCAGCCTTAAGACCTGCCGCGGTGAGGTTGTAGTGCATTCTGGCCGCTTCAGTTTCTGCATTCTTCAACTGGTCAGCCAACACCGAACCAGTCCGGCCAGCAAGCAGGAAAGTATAGGTATAAACCCTGAACGCAGAAAACGAACTAAGGGCGGACATGCAAACCCGAGGTTTGCTATTTCTGAAGCCTCCAGGCAGGGTGGAAACTCCCAGACTTAAGCCGGAAGGAAGTGTGGCTCTAAATGCCCTCAGAACTAACCCTAACCCTCCAGGTACCTACTATAGAGGGTACTAGAGCCCCAAGGGGCCGTATATAGTAGGTACCTGGAGGGTTAGGGTAAACCTTAGAACCAAAACCCAAAGACCTCCAGTCAAGCTTTGCCTCACTTCGTTTCAAGTTTGCCAGGACCTCACATGGAGCTATGCTGAGGTCTTGGAAGCACTTCAGTCCCGGCGGGTTGCCGTTGCAGCAAGGAGAAGGCTGTAGGCGAGAAAGTGAGCATTGCTTGAGCCTAAAATTACTATGATCAGCAGTATGATCAGCGGTTTGGCCGTAGCAAGGCCTGGAATCGGTCTCAGTGTTGTGATCATCAAGCGATGCCTCGAACCGAGAATCATTCTAGACGTGGTTCAAACAAGCGGCCGCAGGTGGAATTTCACACAGTTTCGAGCCAAGCTTTGAGGATGCTTGAAGCTCGTTGAAGCTCCTGCGGTGTAATTCAAGCGACATACAAGCCTGCAAGTGCTGGCCCTGCCGATGCTTTGTCATGGAAAAGATACTTGAGTTGACATCGAGCATCCCAGGAAATACCAGGAGCGCATGCAAGACTTGCAGTTTGAAGTCGTAACTCTTAGTGTCGATGGTGCCCCGAAGCGCAAAAGACGCAGGGGCCTGGGGAAATCGAGGCTGGCTCAAACTCCCAATGAGGAGATGCCCAGCTCTGCCCGCAAGAAAGTCAACAGCTGCTGCTTGCCTGCTGCCTGGCATCAGGTGGTCTCTGTATACGAGGGTAATGCCCACCATCATAGCAGTTTGAATCATAGCAGTTTGAACCGGTTAGCTCAACCCTAAACCCTAAACCTAAACCCTAAACCTAAACCCTAAACCCTGAACACCTAAACGGTGAACAGCGAAAGCTAAGAAGAAGCAGGTGGTTTGCACCAGTGGAAGTCTGAAATATCAACCTTTGACCCCGGATCTTCCCATTCCCAACAACTCCAAAGAAGTCGGTACGCACCCTAAACCCCTAAACCCTAGACCCCTAAACCCTAAACCCCGAAACCCCTAAACCCTAGACCCCTAAACCCTAAACCCTAAGGGTCGAAAGCCCAATCTCCGGCACAAAAGTGCCGATGCTCTACTCACCCGTGTCGCTGAGTGCAGACTTCGAGCCCTGAAAGCAGCGCTGTCTAGGCCACAAGCAGCTGCTTACGGAGCTTAGTGTCTGGGTTTAGGGTTTAGAGTTTAGGGTTTAGGGCATTCCCAAAGGGTCCAGGTGATAGTTTGGTACATATTTGGGGGGCCCAAATATCTATTATAAATTATAAGTATCTACTATATTGGGACGTGGACACGTTGGGATTCTTTACCAACATGAACATCACCATCGTGTTCATGGTCAGCAGCATCATCGTCAGTGTCGCCATCATTGGCATAGCTACGATGTTCATCAAGCATTCGTTGCCGTCACCTTAAACCCTAAACACTCCATTGATGGTTGTTGTTGTCACAGCCGCTGCATCGCAGGTTCAGCAGCCTGGAAGACTTCGATGTGGTGACCCGGATGATGCAACAGTATATGAGGGTACTATAGCGGTCACGATAAAGGTGATCGCTATAAGAACCCTAGAGCCTGAACACTATCGGCTTCAGCCATCTTTGGTAGGTTTCTCGCGAGGTCACAGAGAGCAGTGGCAGGCCCAACAGCTCCCAGAGAACTCACTTCCCCTGAATTGAGGAACACATTTCGAATCAGAATATAGGGGTTTAGGACTCTTCCAAAGACAACATTAAGCCCTCAAAATTTAAGGTATATTCCTGAATAAATTAAGGGGTGCTGACCACTCGATGCTTGTCCCACAGCAGGTACGCCGCTTCGTAAAGTTGCTCGACTTGCTGTACGACCGGCGCGTGCGTCTCATCGTCGCGGCTTCTGGACCCATGATGTTGCATCCCTCTCTTATTCCGACCTTTATGTGCTTGTGTGTCGCATGCCGAGCAACCCAGCATATAGCTAGGATCCTGCCGTTGGGTTTGACCGAACTCGGCTTGCGTCATCCTAGCCGCTTTCTCTCTCTCTCTCTCTCTCTCTCTTTCTGTCTAATCTCTGCCAGAGCCCTAGACAATCTCACAACAAGAACTCGTCTTCTCTCTTTCTGTCGAACTTTTCCGAGCCCGGGGAGATTTACATCTCACGCTAGCACTCCTGGAGCTTAGCGAAGAAGGAGGGATCATGCTTTGGAATGCCGCGGGCTGGTTGGGCGATCACCCACCATCCGCTCAAATGCATTCTCAGTGCTGTGAGCTGAGTTTTCGTGTGTAGTAGCTGTCTCCCCTGCGCAAGCAACGCGGCTTGCTTTGGTGCAGTAGCCAGAACAGTAGCGCAACCGAACTTGTTCGGGGGTTTGGTCCAGGAGATGTCGATGACCTTTTCCGTGGCGTTCGACAGGAGGCCATTATGCCGAGAGCATCGGGATGTAGTATATTGGCCTAAATACTTTCAAATGCTCCTAATTGCGCATATAACTAGTTTTTTGCTATACCCCAAAAGCCTATTCTAATTTTTAAGCAAGGACTGCTCGCATCTTGCACCCTTGGCATGAGATGCATGGACCAGTCGGTGATGCTTCGGGCATGTTGCAGAAACAAACAGCTGAGGGTCCAAAGGTTGCATTGATAGCAGAAACCCATACTCCTGCTTGAATTACCCTAAACCCTAAACACTAAATTGCATAGCAGAAACCCATACTCCTGTTTGAATTACCCTAAACCCTAAACCATAAACATTGAAGCAAGACACTCGCGACATGAGGATACCACCTGCTCTTAACTACGCCCCCCGAAGGTCGGTGAAGGCGACATGAGCGACCTCGCATGGTTTGGACCTTAGTGCCTCACCTGTGTGTGTGTGTGCGTGTTTCTCATGTTTCATCTTTCCGGTTTCGTATGTCGGTCTCTAGTGCAAAGACGTTCTCCTCAGAACGGTGACGATCTCCATTGCTTGGTCATGAAAGACTCTCCAGACTCAGAAATGCGATATTGACAAGTGCACGCAAAGATTTGAGACACACATCAAGCACGGCAGTCTAAAGTCCGCACGAGTGCCTGGCAATTCTGCACATGGCAGCAACAAAGAGCCGCAGCTTGCATCGCGCGTTCGTATCCGGGAGACCGTAAGACAAATCGCATCATGGTTCGGCAAATATCGATCTGCCAAAAAACTGCTCCAGACTTGAGATCGAATGCTGACAAAAAACAGTCACATTGTGGTGGCCAATGCTTAAGACGGTGGTGCTGCACCACATGACAGCGTACGTTCATGCCGTTGGAGATGGTGGGAGTGGTTTGCATCACGCCCTCCCACTCTTGATGGTAGTAAGGGGCCATCCACGTCGTGGTCCTCGCTCTCCATCTGGGCTATCTGGGCTGTGTCGATGTTGAGGCTTTTCGCACTGAGAACATGCGAGAAATCGGCACGGACGAAGATGGCGGTAGCATGCTGACTGAAGGGGCCGATCCTAGAGCTGTTTCCATCGCGGTAATAGTCCTGCGACTGCCCCTTTAAAAGACAGGAATTGTCCAGCTCCCTCGAAATTTGCTCAGGCGCACTGCGATGTACTCGTCAGACGGCAAGGTTCCGGCCGAATAAGATCAGGGCTGTGGACTTGAAGCAATAGAGTCTGTGATGTTTTGGAGAAGTTTTAAAGTGCACTTACGATGTTCTACTAATGCCACGCCGTGGTACGCTGGTATGCTGCTGGCATTTCAACTATCATAACGCAGGCGGCGACGGCGACAATGACGACAACGCAGACAATTTTGGAAAGCACCCCTGTGTCATATCGGAACCTTGTGCGCTTGTAATGGGAATCATTGCTGGACCTCTCCAAAAGCTGCATAACCCTAATCCCAAAACCATAGTCACCATAATCATTGGGTTTCTCTGCTGCTGTGCGACCGCCGCCATCTTCACCTCGCCCACGAGCATCATCTTAATGGTCCTCACAAGGGGCCAAAGTGGGAGGTTTCTGGCACTATGGTTAATCATGATTCTGACTGGTAACTAGTATTAGCAGTATGACTGCTAAGTGACTGTCATTTCTGTTGTTTTCATCTTATGGGCGGTTTCGATGCTGGCAAGTTCGTGTGGCATTTCAACTTCTGCATGGGTTCCAGCTCAGATTGGTTCCTTCCATCTACACTTGCATCGGACCCTTCTGGGTTGGTCTGCTTAGCCTTGGAAAGGCAGCTGAAGCCCGCAACTCGAAACCCTAAACCCTATACCCTAAACCCTAAACCCCTAAACCCTAAACCCTAAACCCTATATACCCTAAACCCTAAACCCCTAAACCCCTAAACCCTAAGCCCGAGACCTCGTTAATGGTGCCGAGTCCTTGGACCCAGGCCAGGCAGTTCAGAAGCTAATATAGGGGCCGTAATAGTTAGAATAGGGTTTGTGGGTCCATTATACTACAATTATATTGAGGAACCCCCAAAACCACAGTCTGACCATAAGGGCCCCTATATTGTTGTGGTTGAGTCAAGCCACTGTTCTGTCGGCTAGCTGGGGTGTTGCCATATGTTGGATATGCCCAGAAATGATTTAAGGCACGGCTCGTTGCAATTTAAGCCAACCCCTTCGGAAAGCACCATGATGCTCCAGGGTTGCATGCAAATACCTCTTGGTACTCATGCATCTAAGCTTGGCGCTTCGCACTCGCACAGACAGGTGGGCCTTTCTCCGCAAGCTGTCGGGACCGTTTGCGAGGCCTGGAACCGACATGATGTGCAAAGGCTGCATCCTATGGTGGGATGGCCCGCGACTTCGAAGTTGTACCCTCACGCACAAATCTCACTTCGCGGATCCGCAGCGTGCATTAGTTCTGTGAGAGTACTACCTTCACCAGGCCTTTGAGGTCGAAGTCGAAAAGTTTCTCTCTAGAATTTGGAGTTTAGGTCAGAGCCACCCTCGCATTGCATGCGATCTTGCATCAACGTGCACAGTTCAAACTACGAGTTGACGGCGTTCAAGGCATCCTCAAGGGAGCGCGTAGAGTTGTCCGTTGATGCCCATCTTCACGGATGGTGTTCTGCATCGGAGCTGTTCTCGAGTTCTGTCCGCCGAAGAATTTCTACCTTTGAGGTTCGCTGAGGACATCTGATATCTCTAAATGACGATGAACCTGACCATCAAACTATACCTTCGCGATGATCCCCAGCATCACCACCATGATCATGGTCATGACCTGCAATCGTCGTCATCACCA